CCATTTTGTTAAAGAATTCAGTTCTGGATCCGTATCCAAGACATGTCTGGATTGATCAAGTTCAAACTTCACACACACATGGTACATCATGTCACAAATAGATATGTGCATTTGTTTCATGATCTGCTTAACAATAGTGGAATGATGGCCATTTTAAGGCCGAAAATGCATCAAAATCACGTATTTTCACAATTCCAGAACCGGATCTCAGTCATGCATGGATGGATTTTGTTCAGATTTAGCACAATGTGTTGTACATATGCAGGTGCATTTCGGTCATGATCTGCTTTGAATGTATATGTCACTCAAATATGAACGGAACGGGGACGTGTCATTGACAATGACTTGTTTAATTAATTAATTAATTACACTAACACTGATTTATGCAAATTAAGCCACCTATTGTGTAGAACAATGCTTCCAATTATATGCATCAAATAAATAATGATTCAAGTTTATTTCATTAAACATTTGTAAAAAAAAAAAAAAAAAAAATTTAAATGAAATAATATTTTATTGAGTGAGTACAATTGTTTTAATTACCATAGAGGAACAAATATGTTAGAAAAGCATGTTTAAATATCTGGAATGCTTGAAGCCAACAAAATCAGAATATTTTCAACATTTGATCCTAACTGGAATAGTTTTATCCCACACTATTGCAATTGTTGTATCCCCATGATATCACTTTGGATGAATGCTGTGACCTGCAACTTTCTGCAAGAATTAAAAGTAAACATTATTGACCCACAGCTACCCATTCCAACAAATTGAATCTCTAGCACAGCAGTCAATAATTTGGTTGAAGGGGATGGGGCTATCAAGTCTGACACCTTAAAAATGACTACTGAATATTATGGAAAGAAACAAACATGGACACTACCACTGTCAGTGGTGATCATTGTGCAAAAAAAAAAGTGCCACTATGACTTAAAGAAACTGAATATTTTATTTTACAATTTGAATAAAACAATCCTACCACCACCCTATTCGCTATCAGCTCCCCTGTCCAGTGCGGCATCATCTGAATCAGCAATATTAGGTATTCCATAGTCACAAAACACTGCTTCTAGAATCATATGACTTCAATCCAAGCTTATTAATTACTACACTAAAAGTAATAACAACAATACATTTTGTGGAAAAATCACTGCCAATTTATCAGTCCCCGTTTGGACGAAGTCCGAAAACGGGGACTTATAATTCGGTCTCCGTCTGTGTGTCCGTCCGGTGTCATATCTCAGAATCCCTCGGATCGATTCCGTTTATTCTTTGCATGTGCCTAGTACTTTATGTGGGTCATATGCACATGCAGTGGTTTAGCTATTCGATTCAAAATAGCCGACTGGCAGCCATCTTGTTTTTTGAAAATGTTGTATTTTGGACATGCTTTGTCAGTTGTCATTCAAACTTGGTACATAGATTATACATGTTACAGGATACATGTCCATGACGATTTATTTCGCAATTGGATCAAAGCTGGTCGACTGGCATAGTGGCAGGCATCTTGTTTTGTTTTTTTATGCGGTATCTTGGATGTACTCTGTCAGTTTTCATTCAAATTTGGCACATACATGTACTTTATACATGTTAGGATGCATGTCCATGACAATTTGTTTCAAAATCTGGTCAAGGATGGCCGATTGACAGCCATTAGACCTTTTGGCCTTACTACTATATTTCCACAATTTATGTACCATTTTCATTCGTATTTGGCATATACATCATACATATCAGTGTGTTTCATAATCAGATTAAAGATGGCCGAATAACAGCTGTTTTTATTTTTAGCCATATTACTACTACATGAAATATGTGTTTTGATGTAAATACCGGTAAACAATCTGTTGTATATGCCACTTGGAACTCAAGTTTCAAGGACACGCTCGCGACAACCCCTCCGCTTTAATATGACGAGCACAAAGAGAACTTTCAAAAATTTAACGGGGACTGTGTCATTTACAATGACTTGTTTTTGAATAATACTTCTTCCACCAATTTGCTAGTATAATCAGTCAATGTTGGAAGATATGAACCGTCATTATGATATTGTGCAATATCTGGATTGTGTCTCAGTAGTATGTGAGGAAGTGTAGTCACCAGACTGATATATGTTGACTGAAGGGCAAGATTTTTTAACGCCGTTATCATCGTAGCGGAGCTGTTGGTATGGGGGTCTCTCCGGCGTTGTCTGTCCTGTGTCCCGCATGAAGTTTTCCTTTAAACGACTTCTTCTTCAAAAGTACTTGTAATGACCAATTACATTCATATTTGTACCAAAGATACTTGGGGTGATCTTTCTGTCAGATTTGTTAAATTTGTGTCAAAGTATGCAAATTTGGATTTTTAGTGAATATTTTTGTCATTTTTGGTAAAAATGTTATTTTCGACTATTCCGAAACCGTCAACCACAATGCCACTTTACTGATTCTTGTTCCATGATAATGAAGACAGCGGAGCTATTTTGACCGTCAAGTCGCTTGTATAGTTGTACTATGTTTTGACTTGCAGAGTGATATGAAGAAACTAAGAAAACGTGTATCTGAGACCATCAAACAAGGCAATAATCTAATGTTGATTAATTCTAACACTGCTGTTAAAGAAGAATCCTTCATCACTGTCTGTGACTTACTTGTCACATTCAGTAAACAGCTGGGTAAAAATGCTGCAGTCTTATCCTCGCTTATTTATACCCCAGACAGAGATCTACAGGACAATGTCACATCATTTATCACAGAAAATATTTTTGTGGAAGAAGATGATGGTTAGTGTTTATTACTTAGCTTTCAATAATGAGTCATTGTTTGGTGCATGCTCTGACCAAACTTTCAAACATGTTCAAACTTTATACATTTCTTAAATTTGAGAACTCTCATAAAATATGTCATGCATTTGCATGTTATTATTATTAATAATTATTAATATTAATTATTAATAGCACATCACGATGATGAAGAAGATGATTCAGCAAAGATTGAGATGCTACATAAACGTCGTAATCTTCTAGCATGCTTTTGTAAATTAATTGTATTCAATATAATCGAGATGAAGGCAGCGGCTTCTGTCTTCAAGCACTACATGAAGGTAAGCATCTGATTTTGTTTATTTAGAGAATAACCATTGGCATTAAGCAAAAGTGTTGGATCAGTGATACTTTCTGCTTTGAAAGATTTAAAAAATAATATTCGTATTAAATATTATATCTATATTTAATTTCTTTATCGATTTGACTCGTATTAGATAAATTGAGAAAGTTATCAATAGCAGCGTACATGAGAGTTGTAAAAAATATTTAACAGCGCCGCTATCGATGAATTGCAGGCTTCCACTTTATGATTACGTGTACATCTGTGTTCCACTATAAATAAGAAATTCCACAGTGCATTCCATTTTTGGACACATCGTGTATCAGACCTTGACATCAGCTGTACAAATATTGTTCAAAATCAAGATCACCCGTGAAGTTAGTTGTTAACAACAAGTCAGTAGCTGCAGTATTACAAGGGTATATCGTTGTTTTATTGCCAGTAAGATTATTTCGCCGGTCATTGAACTAATTTTAAATATGCACAGAACGGCAGCTATGCATCTACATTTGTAGTGACAGCGATGCATCATGAGTGACCGCACAACATAACGATTATTACTGTTGCCTACCGCCCTTTGAATAACTTGTACATTTTTTATGTAAATCAGTCTTGTTTTAAAACACTCCAATTTATATGTTTATATTCTATCAGGTTGTATATGCAGTATGCATCTTATGCAGAGCTATTTCACAATTATTGCTAATTATTTCGTATGTACAATATTTTTATTGCAGTATTATAATGATTATGGAGACATAATAAAAATGACTCTAGCTAAATCAAGGGAGATCAATAAAGTAGATTGTGCCAGAACTCTTGGACTTAGTCTTACGCAGGTACTGTGTCTAGTTTATTTTATGTGTTTAGCTTATAGAACACTGTTACAACTACACATGTATGTAGGAGTTCACACAACTAATGATTATTCACTGGTAACTAAAAGCCATTTGGCATATTTGTATCAAAATTGTATCAGTTGTTCTAATGCTATTCTGGAGCAAAATCTCAGTCATGTATGGATGTATTTTGTTCAAACAAACTACATAGATCAGACATTATGGGATTCTGATGAACATAATTTTTTTTTTATCAGATTCAAATGCAGTTCTGTTTCCATATCTTTCACAATTTTGAATCATTCACGTCCAAACTATATTATGATAAACAAAACTATATGTCTTAAACTTAAAATTAACGGTACTATGTAATGCAATTACTTGACAATGTTCATTTATTTATATTCTCATTTTATGAGGATAACCTGATAAGCCTCAACATAGAAATTTATCTCCTCAAAGTATAAAAAAAAAAGTTGCTTAGTAAATTACAATAATTTCCTTTTCCTATATTAGGGGTCATGATTGGCTAAGCATCTATCCCTGCCAAAATGTCCCAAATTTTACTGTTTAGTCATAAAACCTAGTCTTTGAGCATTGTTTGACTTTTCCCAAATAGTTGTAATCAAACTTGTATTATAATAATACAGTGTTGATATTGTCCAGCATGACTATGTTGTGAATAAGTAAACCACAGTAACCATACATAAATTATACTTCAACAATGACCTGTTAACGCCAGTGAAAGGAGGTGTTGTACTTCAACAATGACCTGTTAATGCCAGTGAAAGGAGGTGTTATACTTCAACAATGACCTGTTAACGCCAGTGAAAGGAGGTGTTATACTTCAACAATGACCCGTTAACGCCAGTGAAAGGAGGTGTTATACTTCAACAATGACCTGTTAACACCAGTGAAAGGAGGTGTTATACTTCAACAATGACCTGTTAACGCCAGTGAAAGGAGGTGTTATACTTCAACAATGACCTGTTAACGCCAGTGAAAGGAGGTGAACAAGGTTTACCTTTCAATAATTGCTCATTCCGTATTCAGTTTACATTCAAAAAATTACTGTTTTTTTCAAAAAATCATGCCGTTTTTTCAGCAAAATCAATTCCAACAAACCATACTTAAATTAATTCACTTCAGCATTGCGTTACTAAAATGCCTTCAGGAATTCCCCCCACCCTGAGAATTGTGTCCGTACAACACAGCATTCTGATTGGTTAATAACATTGACTTGATCTAGCAAGACCTTGTTGCAGGTCAGGTCTACAATAAAACCTTTTGACAAGAGTTTGCATGTAATTGAATACATTCAGCAATGATGATAATGATTTTGACTGTTACAGCCATTCTGAGAATTATTCGGACAGTCAGTTAACAATATTAGCAAAACACTTGGGTCAAAATATCAGCGTTCAAGTAACTGCATAGCTCTGATGTTTTGCAGCACGTCAAAGTATCAGCTTATTTGTTGTTATCACAGTGGGTAACGGCTGTGTTTCAAATTCAGACAAAGATCATCACGGTTAGAGACATTTTGTCTTACACTAGTGCCTGGGGATTGTTTTTTTTATGCAATGTTACAACAGGTAGAGTTGTTTTTAGTCCCCGTTCGGACGAAGTCTGAAAACGGGGACTTATGTTTTGACCTTCGTGTGTCTGTCCGTGTGTGCGTGCGTCCGGACCTGTATCTTAGAAATGCCTGGAACAATCACAATCAAACTTCACACATACATCATACATGATATCATACATATGCACGTCAATTTGTTTCACGATCTGATTCAAGATGGCCGAATGGTGGCCATTTTTTGTGCTAAAAATCATCAAAATCAAGCATTTCCCGGCTGTTTACAGATGGATTTTGTTCAAACCTTGTATATACGTTGGACATTATAGGACCTTGATGAACATCATTTTGTTTTACGATCCTATTCAAAATGGCCTAATGGTTGTCATTTTTGTGCTAAAAAATCATCAAATATTAAGCATTTCTGGCATTTATAGATGGATTGCATTCAAACTTGGTACATACATTGGACATTACGGGTTCCTGGTGCACGTCATTTTATTTTTCAGATCAGACTCAAAATGGCTGTCCGGTGGCCATTTTGTTTTAATGAATGGGTTTCAAGACCCATATGTCTGACTTGTTTTGACTGATTATGTTCAAATTTTTAATATTCATTATACATCATGTCACAGATATACGGATATATTGGTTTGACGATCCTTTTCAAAGTGGCCTAATGGTGGCTATTTTTGTGCTAAAAAACTTGTTTTATTTTTTAGATCGGATTCTGAATGGCTGACTAGTGGCCATTTTGTTTTAATGAATGGGCTTCTAGAGCCATATCTCTGACATGCTTTGACTGACTATGTTCAAATTTCATATATTCATTATACATATATTCAAAATGGCTGATTTTGTTTTAATTAATGCTGTTCCAGAGCTCATTTGACGATCAGATACAAATGTCAATCATTTAATTGTTAAACAATCATCATATTCCTGACATGTTTATATTCCAGCTATATTACTATAAACAAAACTATATATCTTAAATTTGATAACTAACGGGGACTGTGCCATGCATGGCTTGTTAATTCCAGCTGAGGTCACAAACCCAGGATTACATTTGGGGATTGATACTATGTCGCGATGTCCAACATTGAAAGCCAGCGACTACCTCCCATCCCACCCCCAGACCCTGTTGAAGGAAATGTTGGATGCGTAATTCTATAGATTGAATGCTGGCACTACTTAACGGTCGGCAAGTTCACTGCAGTTCGTTTAATCACACCTAAAACAATGAAAACATAAGTGTGGATGCGTAATCCAATAGATTGAATGACGCGCTACTACTTAACAGTTGGCAAGTTCATCGGAGTTCAATTAATTCATTAATTAATGATCGCATGAATGGTTGAGTCTAAGATTGCGTTAACAAGAACAACCACATGCCAAGCGACCACAACTCCTTTAGTTTACTTATCAAAAAACTTGTACCAGAGGCAATTTCAAATGTTTCAGTACTATTAATCATTAGAAGATCATATTTCCTAGCGTACTGTAATTCGATCAATGCAAATCGATGGTGACATGTCAAACATCTAGAATTTATTTTCAACAAATGTACCGTAGTGATGTTAGTAATCAGTGAAATACTAATTACAAAAATGTATTTGTGTATATCTAAGTCTACATTTCAAACGTATTTTATGATATTAGCAGTACGATCACGAATTGATTCACGCACTTCAAACGTATTTGCATAAATGTCACGACTTGCAACTTTCACTACCATTACTGTAGTGTAAATCTATGAAGGTTAATCCGAATATATGAGCAAAATGGGAATGTACATTTCATTAATAAAATGTCATTTTTGTAGGTGTGCACACTTTCACTTGTCACTGAGCGTTGTTTACAGAGGCCGAAAAATGAAAACACTCAAGACAAAACAATCGTCAGAGTTGCATCTTTATTACTATTAAATATAATTGTGGCCTGTCTCGACATTTATCTTGCATAAATCAAAATGGTACTCTCAAAAACATTTATACACTGGCGATTTATGGTTGAAATCAGACACACGCACTTCTCATTCCATTGTTGGTCCCATGCCTACTATTACATGTAAAAGTGAGCGTAGTCTCTCATTACCAGATACGTCCATCTTACAAGGTCATAGGGTTCAAACTGCGTGAATATTCAATTAAATATGGTTGCGTCTGTTTTAACAAACATCCTCTCATGTGAATGTGATATTAGCACCAGATTGGATTCTTTAACTTAAGTTAGACCTCTGAAACAAACTTGTAACAACTTCATGTTAAACTGAGCGTAGCTTTCATTACATTACCAGCATTTTATGGTTTGTTCTCACGCTTACTTTTAAAAGTGAGTGCACTCAATCATTGCATTGTTTAGCTCCACGCTTACTTTTGAAAGTGAGCATATGCTGAACTCATTACAAGGTACTGTTATTTACTATTACATTGTATCATTAATTAACTCAACTTTCTTTTAATACTTTATTGGTGTAGACTGATAGATTGTATTTATAAGGATGCAATAAAGATTGTTATTATATCTTCGTGAAAACTGAGACGCTCAGTTTACCACGCTCAACTACTACCTAGAGACTCGTACATACTTCAAAATGTGCATAATTTTGGTGACCATTTCTGTATCTGTTATGTTATTTCTACAACTAACAAAAAGATGTAATATTCCTCTGTTTATCTGGAACATGGTGGAATAAAATTATCATGTGCATACTTTTTTGAGGGGGAGGACCTTGGGTAAGTGCCCACCTCCTAAAACACCTGATTTTTGGGTGCTGAGTCAGACAAGTACAATATATGACAAGACAGTTTACTCTGTGACAAAAAATATGAGAGTCATTTCCAGTAGGCCTTGCTCTAATTGCTATATTGATAATTATAGGGTACGTCTTTTCACAATTTATTATTGTATTATTTTTACACCAATCATTGTAGATTTGACAATTGTATAAAATATACTAACGTCACTAGTATTGATACATTTGTTTGAAAAAGTACTGGACCAGGGACTGTTTTTGTGAACTACTCGCAAATGCACGTACATGTTTGACAGTTCATAACATTCGGCTTCAGTAAAAATCAAAATATACACAAACACCATTCATTGAATTGTAACGCGTGAACATGAAATATTCCTGATGGTTCTGAGTATTTGTCAGTAGTGTAGTAGTGAAGCTTTTTGAGTAGTGAAAATGAAAAATAGAAGAAAATCCATTGAAGTAGGGGAAGGAATTGTCTAAGTTTAAATCCATGAAGGCGCAACAATGTCATGTAAATCATTATCGGATAATAAAATCTAATGAAATGTTGGCAGAGATGTCTAATTTAGACATTTTTAGACATTATTATCAGATAATATCAGAGAAAAACCAACTGTCCCAAATAATTATCGAAAGAGAGATGTGTAACTGCGACACATTTTTGACTCCCGTGTGCGAAGCACAAAAGGGAGTCTTTGCATGTATGCATGTATGCATGTATGTATGTATGTATGTCACTTTTTTTGTTCCACCGTTATCTCAAGAACCACTAATCAAATGTTGATGAAACTTGGTACATAGATGCTCTGGGATAATGCGCAGAGTTGATTAGGTTTTGGTAAAAATCTATGAATATTAATTACCTAATTTGCATGATAATTAGCTGATTTTTAGCTGTTCCAAGACTGTTCCACTGATATCTGAAGAACCACTCATTGGATTTTGATGAAATTTGGCACATGGATGCTCTGAACTAATGCACAGATTTGATTAGTTTTGGGTAAAAATCTGTTAATATTATTAATTACCTAATTTACATAATGATTAATCAATTGAGGACTGTGCAGAGACCTAATTAGTTTTTTGGTAAATATTTGTGCATATTAACCACCTTATTAGCATAAATTAGTTAATTTTCAGCTTTTCACCTGATATCTCAAGTACTAATCATCACATTTCAATGAGACTTGCGACATAGATATTCTAGGATTATGCAGAGACCTGATTAATTTTGAGATAAAAAATTGTGCCTATTAATTACCTAATTTGCATAATTAGTTAATTTTTTGCTGTTCTATGGCTGTTGCACTGATGTCTAAAAACCACTCATTGGATTTCAATGAAACTTTTAAATAGTACCCATCACATTTCATTGAACCTAAGACCACCATATTAGTTTTTGGTAAATATTTATGCTTCTTAATCACCTAATTAACATAATTAATTAATACTAATATCTCAAGTATTGATCATCACATTTGAATAAAACTTGGTACATAAATGCTCTAGGACAATAGACAGCCTGATTAATTTTGGGTTAAAATCTGTTCATATTAATTCTCCAATTAGCATAATAATTAATATTTTTTTGGTTCTAATCACATTCCAATGAAACTTGGTACATTGTGCAGACCTTATTAGTTTTACACCTAAATCTGTTCATATTAGTTACCTTATTTGCATAATTAGTTTTCAGCTATTCCATCAATATATCAAGTATAAGTAATTTTGAATTATTTTTAATGTGTCTCCAAAACTCTCAGCACACGGGAGTTCTTTCTAAGCTTTCTTTGATTCTTTATATTCTTTAATATTTCTGGAAATGAACACTTATTTTGGAGCTAACTGACAAAATTGGAGTAAATTTTCAGTTTTTACTAAAAAATTTGACAATTCTAGTCCCAATCTTCTGAAGAAAAGTGCAGACTATAAACATGACTATTATGTGATTTGTAATGAAAAGCGGGTGGTGGTAGAAAGGTTAACAAAGAACAGTATTTATTGGACACAGAATTGTGGGAATACATAGACATACATGTACATTGTACCTTTGTTTATTTTAACATATCCACCACTGGCACTTTTTTTTTTATCCCCTTTTATTTTGCGCTATTTGTGGCGGCTTTTATCAAGCAATGTGTTAACCATGCACTAATAATAGCCCAATCATGCATGTATGTTAAAATTTACTGTAATAAAGCCATTGCCGCATTTACAGAGTAACTATTGGTTTGTGTGAACTCATGTAGTTTTAATGTCTATTAAAATCGTGTCTCTGTTGAATAGAAAAGCACTTAAACTAAAAATTATCTTGATTGCATACTTACTCATCAAAATACAATTGATTTGGCCCACAATAACACCTCTGTATTTTATGTAAGCATACTGTACAATACTTTATTTTCACTTGGAATTTATTTTTGCTATTTTCGCTGAAGGAATAATTCAGTGAAAATAAAATCCAGCGAATATACCTTTTTTCCTATATTTTAAATTCAACTTGTCAATAATCAGTGAAAATAAATTCCATACACAACAGCCTAAAAAGTGTTTTCAGCGGAAATTAATTCCAGCTAAAATAAAATGTTTCACAGTATGCACTAGGGTCAAAATGATGCAGTAAAATGAAGAGACAGAGCCGATTGTCTCAGGTGTTTCTTATAGGCTGGGATTACATTGGTTTCAACAACATATGGGCTAATACTACATTTTTTTCCTTGTTTGTGTCGTTTTTCTACAGATAATATATATAACAGTGTTTGACAGTTGTAGCTTTTGTACAAAATTGGTAACAAATTGCTGTTTGTTTTTTCTTCCTTTCAGGTTCACCAGTTTTCTAACTGTTCAATCTGACTTGTCAAGTTGTAGAAGCATATCAGCAACATGCAAATTCTTCTGAGCAAGAAAGCCAGCTTCTGGCATCGAAGGATGCACTGTTTATTGTTGTGTGTATCAAAAGGAGGACATGCATCAAGCGACAATGGTATCTTACAAGGGGTGGCCTTGCTAATTGGAAAGACACTATCACGTAATCAAACCACAACAACTTCAAGCCTCACGCAGGCCAAGGCTAACAAACAAATATACAAAAACTTGCACACATGCAGTGCTCTGTCAGCACAGGCAGTATCGAATCTGCAACAAGGTGGACAGCAGATGTCCATGTTTGGACCATCAGAGAATACCAGCACACCGACGGATACAGGACACCGAGCTCTGTTCTGTAATTCTGGATTGATCGCTGGGACACGTGCGTTCCCAGGCAGACCGGACAGCCGTGGAATCATGAATATGCCGTACACGGCGGCTACGCACCCACAGCAGCAGTTTTCATCGGTGTACGCGATGTCTAGGACTGCGCAGGATCTCAAGCGTTTCCTTGAGGAGGTTAGTCAGTTTTTCTAAACAGTTTTGATTGAATGGTACCCTAGAAAAGTTTTGTCATGATTCTCAGAGTAATGATGAAAATGATGTCTATTCCTTTAACTTTATTTTCCAAAGACAACTTCTTTGTCCTTTAGCAAATTAAAATCCTCATAAATTTTTCCAGATTTGTTTTAAAATTTTGATGGAGACTTATAGCCAATGAGAAATTATTTTTATTAGGTCCAAAATTGAGATAGAATCTGTAGAAAAGAAAAAATGATGCACCCAAACTTGTTTGAAAACATTTTGACGTTCTGTATGAATCAGTTTTGTGTCATAACTTGTTTAAAGGAGATTGTAGTAAACTAAAGTGAGTAACTGTTTTGTTTCTTTGATGTTTGTTAGTTCGGTACAGACCCTCGGGAAGCCCGCTACTGGTTGAAAAACTTCCAGCGAAATACTGATCCTTGGAAGCCTTTTGCTGTGGTTCAAGTTGATCAAGAAGTCTTCAAAAAACCTGAACTTGTAAGTACAAAGCATTGCATTATGGGTACACAACACTATGGAGAGAAACATTAAATAAGGCTTACCCGGTAGTTATAATTCAAACCATTCAACTGACAAGTCAGTCCTGGTTGCACCATTTATGAATAGCACTCTTGTAAAATGGGAATGGATTATAGAAATTCTAATGAATTTCATATTAGATTAAATACTGTAGAATACTTTATTTTAGCTAAAATTAATTTTCGTATGGAATTTATTTTTACTGTTTTTTGATAAGTTGAATGTAAAATATAGGAGAAAAGGTATATTTGCTGGATTTTATTTTCAGCGAAATTTTATTCCGAGTGAAAGTAAAGTATTTTACAGTATATATTAATAAAGCTGTTACAAAATCATGTTGACAACTTTGTATTTTAATATCAGTTCATTAGAACAACAAAACGTCTGTGTTGTGTTTGGTTTCATGAGTTGTCATAGTAAATTATAAATGGATATATTTACTGGTATGTACAACATTACATGTAGTCTGCACTTTCCTTCAGAAGATTGGGTAAAAATAGTTGAAATTTTGGGTAAAAACTGAAAATTTACTCAAATTTTAGCTCCAAAATTCAAGTTCATTTGCAGAAATATTGAAGAATATAAGAAAATACTGTAGAATACTTTATTTTCGCTTGGAATTTATTTTCGCTATTTTCGCTATTTTCGCTGATTGGATGATTCCGTGAAAATAAAATCCAGCGAATATACTTTTTTCCTATATTTCACAATAAACTCATGAAAAATCAGTGAAAATAAATTCCAAGCAAAACGCCCAAAAAGCCTTTTCAGCGAAAATTAATTCCAGCGAAAATAAAGTATTCCACAGTAGTGCAGAAAAATTTGGGCGAAAAAGTCTGGTGGTGAAAAAGCTAGATCTACTGAAATAAAGAAAAACACAGGTTTCTCTTTCATCTGCTGTTTTGTTTATCATAGTTTGCTCTAACAACATAGAGGGCACTGTTTCTGATAAAGCCCATTTAATGTGCAGACCTGACACTGAGGGCGCTGTTTGTAATTTGACAAACTTCATCAGTCACTTCAAATAATGTTTGCATCCAATTGACGTTGCTGCATGATGGACTTTGTGGTTCATAATTCAATTTGAGTAAATAAACACAAATCAAGACGAAGACTTCATCCTAGAAATAGACATGGCTATATTTTATTTACATGTCGCAAATAGAAATTGTATTTGTTTTCTGTTTCATGTTTTGCTATGTTTTAATAAAAATGATCAGAGCTTAATGAGTGTGAAGACAGCGTTCGGTTCATTTCGCGTTCAATTCATGTTCGTTTCGTGTTCAATTGATGTACGTTTCTCGTTTGATTGACGTACAAATTTGAAAATATCTATTTTCCACAAAAGTTTATATATAAAAAAAATGGGGATCAACCTATTCCTTTTGGAGAAAATCATGGTTAAAAATAGTCCTACTATCTCGCTCACATCGGAAGTCACATGGGCCCAAACAAGTATAAAATAGCCATAGAAACAGACGAGAAATGCATATATATGTTTAAGGAAAATGAATCTTTTGTAAAAAAAAATTATATAGTCACAAATTATCACCACTCAATTCAAAAACAAATAAAATCTTTGAAACAAGGACGTTGATGATATTTTTTATTTATAATCATTGTCCTTTGACCTTCTGCGCATTCGCTGTCATGGGCACTATGAAAGTATTTCCAAAGAAAATGCTAAATTGATCTCTATTTTCCCCGCTCAAAAATATTGTTAAATTATCTGAAATTGCTATATATCAACATTTGAGTGAATTATAGGTATTTCAGTGGACGTTTCAATCGAATGCTAATCGAACTGAACGCTGTCTTCACACTCGTTGTGTTTTATCAATAGAAAATATAATGTTTGTTTGTTTGTGTATTAATTACTATATCAAATGTTTGTTTGTGTTTTAATTACTATATCGAATGTTTGTTTGTGTTTTAATTACTTTATAAAATTTTTGTATGCAGATGGATAGTCTTGGCTCCAGTATATCATTCCTACTGCGACATGACATGAAAGCCGTTGTTGTTCATGGGAGTGTTTTACCAGAGGAGGCAGCTCTTTCTAATGACATCCTACAAGTAAGTGTCTGAATTTGTTGTGAAATTGCTAAAAACATTAAAAAGTGGAAATAAATAGTATTAAGCGCCCAGGGGCCTGAACATGGAAAATTGCCAAAATATAGGGGTTGGTGTTAGCCCGGACAACCTCCCCCCCCCCCCCCTGCAAAAAAAACAAAAACAGGTATGTCCTCAACTTCTTTATTGTATCAAAATTGGTCGCTTACCCAGATAAATACGGTATTGTATTTACAGTATTTGGTTGGATTCCTATGAATAACCTTAAAAAATCATTTTTTTTTCAAAATGTCAAATATAAAATATTGGTGTTCTGGTTTCATATTTAGTAATGTGGTTTGCAATACGAGAACTTCTTGCAAAAACTTGTTTTGCAAATAAAGTGTTTAATTTCTGTTGCTAGGAATTGTTGTGATTTGATGAATTAAAGGAATTAAATTCATGAAGACAAGATTTGTCAAAAGTCACTGTTACTTTGTGTCATACATATCGGGCCCAATCTAGTGAGATCTCACTGAAATAAAACTCCTGATTTTCACTTAATTTCTTGTGAAAATTTGCAAATAAAATGTCTGTTTTTCTGGCAGTACATTTGACAATACCTTGCGTATAAATACAATTTCTCGTTGTAGTGTGTAATATATCCTGCTTTTCTGAGGTTGTAAACATACATTTGTACATGTCATGAGATTATGTGTAGATCTTGTGTGCAATCCCATCTTTATGCAAATGTGAATAATTGCTAATCAGTTTCATCGTTACTTTCTTTTTAGGCGAGTCGATATCAATTGACCACTGAGACAATGCAGATGGTAAATGCATTGGAAGCACACGGCGCACCGGCACATCCGTTGTTTAGCGGTGGGAATGTACTTAAAGCTGACCTCACCAAGAGTGGTTTCAACGGGAAAATAACACACGTCAATACACAACCTTTAGAGTGGTGCTTAAGGTAAGTCAGTCATATCCACACTGAGACAGGTTATACACTGTCTTCTAATAAGCTTGGTTATAAAGCATTCGTTTTGATAGCCGAGGATGCATCATCATGTGTGGCTAGGCGGTTTGGTGCCGTATAGAGCACCAGTTTGAGTCTCTTATGCGGTACATGTTTACTTTGATTTTAACGTAGTATTTACAATGTCATGTATTCGCCCTTATTTTACTTCCTATGTTTATTTAATATGATAAAATTGTTAAGAGTTATATTTAGATTGGCATGTGGCCTTATTTAAAATTGTTGTAACAGTGGATCACTTAAAGCGGGGGAGTCGTCACCTGCGCATGCGTCAGATGGCCATAGTGTGTCATTGTTTACAAACAAGTGTCTACCCATGAGCCTTTGTGTTTTTAGCGTGTGTTTTTATCGTCGATTGGGACTCAATTCTTACACGTGCCCAGACGATGACCCTCACGCTTTAATTTTGCAAGTTTGCCTTGTACCAGTTTAGAAGAGGTTGGATCTCCTCGGTCGCCTGCTCACTCGGTTCTTTAAATTACTCTGTCAAGTTCTTCCCCCCGAAAAAGTATGTTCACATCTAATGACAACCATGGTGCAGTATGTTGCAATGTAGAGTAACATTTGTGCGGTTATGCATGTGTTTAGGGTACATGTGATTATTTCTATAAAATAACAAAAATTTCTCGTCCTAAATTACATCTTATTTTCTAGATCCGGTCATGTGCCAGTGGTCAGTTCGATCGGCGAAACAGACACTGGACAGTTGGTCAACATTGATGCTTGCCACACGGTAGAAGAAGTGGCCAAAGTACTGAAGCCGCTCAAAGTAATGTACCTGAACACTAGTGGAGGTTTCATGAACGAGAATAGCCAGGTATGGTCAAGCTATCAAATGTCTGTGATTGGTCAAACAAGGCTTGACCTATGTCTGTGTGCGATATCAACCGATATTTGCTAGTTGTGGCAAGACTGACCGTCCCATTATTCATAACATTGAAATAATTGAACATGATTAATGAGCAAAATATTATAGGGATGGGGTAACCATGGAAACAGTAACCCAGGCTAGTGATTGCCTTCATCAATAAGTCATTGCTACAATATCACCTCCATTGTATGAGTGGTGTGTAGATGGAAAGCCAACATGGCCGTCTCTTGCAATTGTTTGTTTCTCACAAGAACAAATAATGTTTTTGTAATATCGTAACATATTGCCTGATGAAAGCATTTACGAATTGTCTGAGTGAATAGGAAAATAGTGGCGTCAACAGGTAGTGGGTTAAATGGTACCAGTAGTTGTCGTTGCTTAGTGGTGTCCGAAATTTTGTGTAAACACATTGTATTTTACATGTACTGTATACATCCATATTGAGCAGGATGTGGAATGACGACCACCGCCATTTATTCATGAAAACGTCTTCTATACATTCATTCATTGCCTCGTATCATACAATGTAGTGAATGTACGACATTAAATTTTGTTACAAAAATGAGTTTGTGTACATGTAATTGACCAATCATCTTTGTTCTTTAATTTCTTGAAGGTGATCGTAATAGATAGAAAGAGAAATTCCACCTCAATTTAAATCAAAATGACTCAACTTCATATTGCTTACAAGTTTTAATCGAAATTTTTTACAATTTTGTTGACACCAAGAAAATGATAGTACACAGATTTTTTTTTTTTTATTTGAATGTTTCAAACTTCTGTAATCAAGGCAAGGCTGTGTAAGGGTATCAAGATCATATACCCTGTATTGTCCCACAACTCTGCAATATTCTTTTTTTTTTTTTTTTTTTTTTTTTTTGGGGTTAAAAAAAATTTCAAAATAATAACTTTTTGTATTAATCCTAGTAATTGCCAATGGGAATTTACCCACTGACTGGGAGGGGCTTTTAAAACAACCTTGGTGTAGTCCAGCAACTAAACACAAGGAAACAACATTTTATGTGAAGTCCTTGCTCTGTATCCTACATAGTGCATATAGTTATAGTGCTTGGAGTGTTGTGCTTGCTATGAAATTGCTACATGTTTGCATGCATGCATTTGCTTCCACATTTCATTTGCTTTTAAATAATTTTTATTTATTTCTGTAATCGTATAAGAATGGTCTCACATTGTTGCAGACACTCGACAAACAGGCGTAGTCTTTTGAAAATGGCTCTCGTAGACACAGAACTGTGTTTGATTAGGTTAGCTATGCAGTTAAGTTTTAAAAAAGACAAAAATTGCAAGACTGAGAACTACCCCAGTAGCTCTCATAGGTTTTAATTTGTGGAGGTGAGAATTATTGTTTCATTTGAATGTATATCCCTGAAAAAAATTTAATTTGTTTGTGAGGGAGATGTCATTTTAGAGCATTTCAGTAAATGAACATCAAAATGGATGCACTGAAACTGAGACACAATTTTTTCTCAATGTAAAAAAAAAACGATCGTCGAAAGTATAAAAAAAAGTTCTGTGACCATTCAAGATTAGTCTTTAGTTTTTTCTGCATGTGGTAATGGTTTATGCATGTGGTAACTTTGATCATTCTGGATAAATGTTGAACTACTGAACTGCGGCGTATAGTCACTTCATGTTGGTTGCATGCATTGTTTTACTGTCGTTTCAACAAAACTTCAAATAAAAATGTTGTCTCAAAGTGTAAATTTGGAGTCACATTGTATCATTTTGGAATCATCTGTTTCACGAATACAACTGCCAGTTAATATCAGCTTCTTGCATATTTTGCACGCTGCAGATTTTGCGTTACAAACTTATTTAGAAATCCAAAATTTGGCATATAAACTGACCAACGTGATGCAGAGCTGAGATTTCTTGTTAGCGTCATAACAGAGTGATAACAAGTGAGCAAAACCTCAGATAACAATTCTGAATTGGAGGCACGTGTGTGGATGGATTACAATTACAAACAAAATTACCGAACGTATCATTATTATGAGACAGCATTTGTATATGTTGAAACAACTGTAATCCAGTAGTAGAATTGCTTGTATCTGTTTGAGCAATGTTCACAGCGTTGAATTGTAGTGTTAGTTGTCTTAAATTATGTGTGCCTCAGATTGAAAGTTTCATCAAAATCTTGTCTTGCCTTTGCTTGCCAATATAATGTATTGTATTCTGTAACAAATATATCCATGCTACTGATTTTGTTTCTATGGTTACATTGCATCAATTCGTGATGAGAAGTCAACTTTTAGATTAGCTGTTTTTGTGATAAGATGTGGAGCACGATGCAAGGATTTTGATAGTAAATCTGTACAGGACCTCAAGGATTAATATGGTTTGTTTTTCTGCAAGCTGAATTAAAATAAAAATTTAAATGTAGTAAAGAATTATTACATTTATTAACCTACAAGGTTCAGGTTCACTATCTAAACCGGACAGAACATTCTGGCTTTTGTTTTTAATATTTTGTAAAAAAAATGGCTTGTTTGTCTTCGGCAAAATTCGTGCTACAAAAATCAGTTGTGAATGTTGAACCATCTGACGGTGTCATTCACACGAAACATTTGATTCCAAGTGAGAGTGTAACCTGTGGATGGAATTTCATATGAAACGTAACACTGCCAGAGTTCTTGTATCTGCTGAAAAGGTAAATACCCTCAGTTTTGAGTAGCTGTTAGTGTTATAAATGAGATGCGTTTCTTCTTGTAGGTTCAACGAATTTCTTCGTTACTGAATCAGCTTCCGTCACAATCGTCTGTGGTTATAACATCCGCCAATACACTGCTCACTGAACTCTTCACACATCGAGGTAGGTCCATAAATTACGATCATAATCATTTTATTTTAGCTGGAATTAATTTTCGCTTACAATTTTTGATTTTTGATAAGTTGAATGTAAAATATAGGAAAAAAAGGTTTATTTGCTGAATTTTAAGCGAAACTAGCGAGAATAAATTCCAAGTAAAAATAAAGTATTTTACAGTGCTTGACAGATCTGAAGCATGAAACAAAATTTTGCAGACTGTGCAATTTTAACATAAGCAGTTACTTTGAGTGTTCATTTCGAAATACTGTATTTGCTCTACTAGTAGTGCACGTACAAATGACAGAGGTACAGCTATGGTCAAAAGAAGTTATAATACAATGATCCAGTATATAATAAATGCAACATTTGTTTTTTGTGCTTCTCATAGTCTAGAGGAAATATGGTACTTTATCTTAGGTGAACAAATTATTTTAGTACTTTTGACATTTTACTGGAAATATTCTTCTGAATGTTTTTTTTTTTTTCTGCTGACAGGTTCGGGTACTTTTTTCAAGATAACAGAACCAATACATGTTTATCATGATCTTGATGACATATCTTTAGACAGAATGCTGGCGTTGCTCACAAGGTACGTTTAACTATTGGCCTCGTCTGTAGTAGTGTAATTGAACACCACACTGTGCGTCCGTCCGGAGTCATATCTCAGAATCTTTTGGACCGATTCCGTTCATTCTTTGAATGTGCCTAGTACCTTATGTGGGACATGTGCAAATGCAGTGGTTTAGCGATTCAATTCAAAATGGCCGACTGGAGGCCATCTTGTTTTTTGAAAATGTTGTATTTTGGACATGCTTTGTTAGTTTTCATTCAAACTTGGTATATAGATTATACATGTTAGGATACATGTCCATGACGATTTATTTCACAATTGGATCAAAGATGGCCGACTGGCAAGCATCTTGTTTTTGTTTTTTTATGTGGTATCTAGGACGTGCTCTGTCAGTTTTCATTCAAATTTGGCACATACATGTACTTTATACGTGTTAGAATGCATGTCCATGACAATTTGTTTCAAAATCTGGTCAAGGATAGTCGATTGACAGCCATCTGACTTTTTTGCCTTACTACTATATTTCCACAATTTATGTACCATATTTATTCGTATTTGGCACATACATCATACATATCAGTGTGTTTCATATCAGATCAAAGATGGCCGAATAACAGCTGTTTTTATTTTTGGCCATGTTACTACTACATGGAACACGTGTTTTGATGTAAATAAACAATCTGTTGAACACGCCACTTGGAACTCAAGTTTCAAGGACACGCTCGCAACAACCCGTCCACTTTAATATGACGAGCACAAAGAGAACTTTCGAAAAATTTAACGGGGACTGTGCCATTTTCAATGACTTGTTCTCATTGAGGACTATGAATAAACAAGATTGTGCGTGGTAACGACTATATACGATGTTTGTCCACATTTGTAAGGGTTGTTTTTAAACAACAAACCCATTATGCAAATATCGAGCTGTAAAATGCCAATATGGCGGCAATACATCCTGTCAACTAAATGACGTGACATCGCTATTTTAAAATTTGTTTTCAGGGCATTCGGGCGAATGCTGAGTAAAGATTACTTCACAAACCTTGGTGACAGACTGCATACATTGTATCTGTCGGAGAATTTCAATGCATGCGCCGTGATTACGCAGGAAAACGAAGTCGCTGTTCCGTACCTGGATAAGTTTGCTGTCAGTGCACACTCGCAGGTAATTGCATTCAATCTGTCAGGGTGAAATCCTTCAATATGGCGGTACTCCCATGGTGCAACATTCTGTTGTCCACACCGGGGAGGTGCATCATGGGAGTATGGAAATGTACATATGGTGTCCATTATTGATAGCCTGAAGACTATGTGTAACATTTTAACTTTTTTATCGGATGCTGTTACCTAAACACCATTCTTTCCTTTTAAATAAAACTCGAATTTTGTCACCTCCTATGAAATAGTGTGCTACTCAGAATTATTTCCATAAAAGATTCTGATCAATAAATAAATGAAATTTATTTGCTTATTTCGCTGACTGGAAAATGTGCTAAATTAAAACCCAGTGAATATGTAAAATTTAGCATAGAACATCTAATTATCTAAATGATAAAACCGTGAATTTAAAACCCACTGAATATGCCTGAAACGGTGAATCAGCAAAATTTAAACCCAGCGAAAATTACGACTGGAATTTTTTGAATAATTTCTGAGTGTACAACTTTGATATATTTGTTTTATTGCTGACAGGGTGAAGGTACAAGTGAAATGCTGTGGGAAAGTGTCAGGAAAGATTTTAAAAGTCTCTTCTGGAGATCCAGAAGTTCTAACATGATAAATCCATGGTAAGATAACTATACTGTAAAACACATTGAAATAACCAAGTGCCATTTTAGCAAATTTGATCCAATGTATGAATTGTAATTTTAATTTTAAACAAAATTTTAATTTACCAACAATCTTATTGTGAGAATGTACTTTATTTAAAATTAGAGAAATCTCAAATTAGTGAAATCAATGATTATCTAAAATAATTACATGCTAGTTAATGACACGTCATTAACTACATCTAGCGTTGAAAACAATTCTGTAAAATTATAGTCATTCAAAACATACTTGTTCTTGCATTTATCCCAAAATTTCCCTTCTTTGGGGAAGCTGCATCACCAACATAGAAGGCATTCTGGATTATTTATATTATATATTCAAGCATTTTCTTTTGTGTTCATGGTTTGCTGCAGGAATATCATCAATATTTCTATATCATGAAGAGTGCATATAAAAATTCTTTGCAAGCAAGGCTTCTTTAGTTTCAATTTTTTTTTTTCATTATACCTCAGGTACTTCAAAAGATCTGAAGGAAGTTGGAGCAACGGTGAGTGGACGGTGTTTTGGTACGGAGTATCTGATCCCAAGGTGTCTTACGAACTTGTCGACTACGCAGCCAGTCTACCATCATCGTTCGTTGAAGACGGGAATGTAATAGTCACCGGTCGTTAACTCACAAAAATAACATTGATGTTGATTATATTGTTGATAGCGAAGTTTAACCTGGATTAACATCGATTCAGAAATTTTTTTGGGACAAAGCTTCTGCGGAAGCAGCATGTTTACGTCTGCGCTACTGCCAGTGTAACGTTTGGTTTCAATAAAAAGAAATTTACATGTGTAGATCCACATGTACTCATTCGTGCTATCGTTGAACCTAGACTACCAAAGTGCAACATGTAATTAATTAAATTATATCATATAATTGGTAAATTTAAAATAACTAACGCAGTCATCACGTAATCTAAAAATTTACAAAATCTTGTATATTATTGGACACTCATTAACAAATATCTCTCGCATACCAAATCTCTTATGTCAATTTTCTCACACAGTGAAGTGCTGAAAGATTTTTTACTTTCTGAAATTTATAACTGGTACCGTAAAATCTGTATTAGAAGCTGCATCCCCAATAGAAGCCGCACCCATTCTTTTTGAACAATCGAGACCCAAAAATTCACCAGGTCGCATATGTTTAGATGCTCTTATAGAAGCCGCATCTCCTCTGTTGCATTTTACCACTTTAATAGAAGCCGCGGCTTTTAATACAGATTTTACAGTAATATAAACCACAAAAACAGTAGAGACTGAACTTATTTTGGTTTGTGAAAAATATGTGTTTATGGTTTAGCAATGATAAAGCATCCTCTGCCCCTCCGTGATTTGCTACTCGTCGTGTAACAAAACATTATTTTTATCTGCACCTTTCTCTGAAACCCAACGCTGTATATACAACTTTTTATTGTCTGGGTCCACTAAGGTGTCAGCTCCTCTAGTTTAGGCAGCCATGATGGATTATGCTAATTTGTACCCCTGTATTCGGCTTTTCAAAGAAAAAAAGATTTTTTGAAGAACCTGTTGATTTCCAAGAATGTTGGCTGTTGTCATTAAGGCCAGTATCCCAGTGTATCTGTAATTTTTAGCAGGTTTTTCAGCAACTTGTTCTTCTACGATCACATATACTGTATCGCACAATTCAGAGGTTATATTTTGCACAATTCTATCAGGGTCTAAGTGCAAAAAATTCACCTTCAAAACTAAACAGTGAGATTTTGAAACTGTTCCCTTTATCTAAAAAAAAACTTAACACAGCTGTTGTGGCGCCCTTTATTGGCCATAATCTAAGATGTTAATTTAATTTTAGATGTTCACTCTCATTTTTTTTTCTGCCGAATTCTTCTGAATTAGGTAAATAATGAGCCATAAATTTTTTTTTCTGAAAACTGAAATTCCAGAAAAAATGGCAAGTTAACAATTTCCATATTTTGTGGTTGTAAATAAGTATGTAACATTTGTACATTGTTTCATTTCATAACTGCAGTAGTTTTGTAGAAGTGTCTAATTATTGGTTGCTAATTTCCTGAATATTGTTTGCACTGTATAAAGTAAAAACAACTACACTAGATTTATGCTATGCTTTCTCAAGCTGTAAAAACAAAAGCAATCTCTGAATGTTATAATGCTTGTCGTGGATTCTACAAAGTAAAAACAACTACACTAGATTTATGCTATGCTTTCTCAAGCTGTAAAAACAAAAGCAATCTCTGAATGTTATAATGCTTGTCGTGGATTCTGCTCACCTGAAAATAGCTGCTTATTGCAAAAGAATTTTAATTTTGACTGTAAAAATGAAAGAACCTAAAAGAATGACCACATGAGGGGGCACATGTAAATAGTTCATTATAGGTACTCATTTCAGTATTTGTGATGAGTGTTGGTTCTGCTGAGTACAGAAAGCGTCAGAATTGATGAGATTTCCTGGTTAAAATATGAGTATGTTTATTTTTGCATTTTTCAGTTACTTGTAAAAGAAATTTAAGAATGGAAAACTTTTTTTTCTTGGGTAATAGTTTAAAGGCATTTTTTTTTTCTTACAAGTTATTGGTAGATATTTAGTTCTGTATGTTGCCATGGTTTTTCTTGTATTTTCTTTCTCCTATGCAGCTTTAATAGTTTAAGTGAGAGATATTACAAATAAATAAACAGTAAAATAAAAAAATAATAAAAAACGTAATTGCTATTGCTAAGTATAAAATAGAAGACATAAAAATGAAAAAAATCTCTCATTTGGTGAATTCTTGGCACTCTAATATAACCATATTTGCTCTATTTGAAGTGCATCTGTAATAAAAACGATTGTAAACCAATAGCTGCTGATATAGTGGATCATCAAAAAGATTATCTGTTTTGAACTTTGACTCGCACCTGTCAAATATGGTTTTTGTTTACCATAACAGAGTGCAACATTATTGTTTTTTTCAGCCACTTTTTTAAAAATTGAGCAAATATGGTATACACTGCCTCTTGCAAGTATGAGGAATATCTCGATCTGGTTTCGGGATTGAGTTCATGCATGATATTTTATGGGTGAAAGGTCGTGTAATCTGTTTACCATATCAAACTCTACCAAAGGAAAGAACGGGTCAGTTTTTTTTGTCATTCATTTTTTTGTCATTAAATAAATGTTATGCGTTTAGAAACATACTGAAATATTTGAATTTATGATTTTCAAATCGCAAAGAGACTGATTATAGTTTTCTCATTTAAATAAATACTGACGAGGATGCCAGATTCATTCATGCTGTGCAACCCTCAGCTTGCTTATATGGAGATGATATTGTTAGTACAAGACATTCCAGCCTGGACAGCAGATCATTTGATACCTCTCCAAATATTGCCAAGATTACTGTGGAATACTTTATTTTCGCTTGGAATTAATTTTCGCTGAAGGAATGATTCAGTGAAAATAAAATCCAGCGAATATACCTTTTCTCCTATATTTTACATTCGTCAAAAATCAGTGAAAATAAATTCCATACAAAACACCACAAATATCTGTTCAGCGAAAATTGATTCCAGCTAAAATAAAGTATTTTGCAGTATGTCAAATTGCAATGCAGATTTTGATGGTTGTATTTTTATCATGGCAAGAAGCTTATAACTGTCAGCCAGTATTTGAAAAATTAGCACATCTTTGTGGTCCTCCTCTGACCGTGGAGGCTAAATCCTAGCAGGCTGTTTCAAGTAATGTGGAGAGGGAACAGTTGTTTGGTATCCAGGCTGTAACAATAGACTAGTATGGGACCATAATGCTGCATGAACATAATTGTGAAAGACTTTATCTTTCTAGGGAGTTTATAGCAAGTCTTTTATTGCTTGTACTGAAAATTTAGATTTTTTGGTTGCATTTGCATTCTTTAATGCCAAACAAGAGATTGCTGAATTAAGTTTAAACTTTGACTCGTTTTCACCGAAATGTGAATATTGTCAAGACTTGTGAGATTTGGGACGAGACGATAATTTACCACTGAGGTCGGTAACTACCAGCAGTACCTCTTTGTGGTGAATAAATTAACCCACTGCTTTTCATAAAAGTAATTTTTGTTTTAAATATTAGGGTGTATTTATACTCTGTGATGAACAGTGTAATAAGTGATCACCAATAAAATACGTGTCAAACTGGACTTTTTGTTTGCATGATTAAAATGTAGTTCGTGTCTAATCACCAGGATTGCACCAGTGCATCCTGGGGAAATGTATGTGCGTGCGTGTACTCAAGTCTGAAATCTTTCATGCAAGACCCAGTTCCAAAGTGGCAGAAATGCTTGATTTTAAACATTGTATGACATGATTGGTTATGGCGGGTCAGATATGGCTCTTTTACAGTATTTGTTAAAACTTTGCCATTTTATATTCAATCTGAAAAACCAAATGATGTGCATCAAGACCCCACAATGTTGAATGTATTTACCAATTTTGAACAAAATCCATCTGTAAACCGCTGAGATCTTGCCCTGGAATGGCAAATGCTTGATTTTCATTGACTAAGCACAAAAATGTCCGCCATTTGGCCATGGACATGCAGAGGTCAATCCATATCTGTGTCTGGACTTCATTTGAATATGGACCAATAGCAAGCCACGACAGTATTATGCTTAGAAAATTCATAGAACTGAGATGCTGACATTTAGAAGACTATGATGGTCTCAAGAGATAGCTGCTCAACATTTAGATGCAAGGTAAGTTTGAAAGAAAAAAATCAGAACAACAACATTTCATCTTTAAAACATATCTTTTTTTAATGTACATCAGTAACGAATTACAGAAAATAATTGAAAAAAAAAGACTCGTCAATACCACTTGTCCCATTCCTCTTCACGATGTGGAACGTGTTCAAAAGGTGATTCTGTAACCAGAAACGTGGCTAATGGTGGCAGACGACATTGACCTTTGTTGTCACCCATAGACTGTGGAACGCCTAGTGTCCTGCAAAGAAACAGATTATAGATTTAATTTTTTAGTATGACAGACATACAGACCTGGTTATGACATAGGATCCCAATTTATAATTCTGGATATTCAGTGAATGACAATGTGTTCTATTGTAATGTAATTTCACATGTTTATGTGAATTCAATTGAGCAGATTTTACGAAAAAGGCAAAATTAAAACCATATGTGTATAATTACAGTTTTACATTTCCCCTACACATAAATCATACACATTAATTAATTTCAAGAAAAATGTGTGCTCTACTGTTTTGCTTTTGTTTTTATGTATCAGTCCCTGTATGGAAAAAGTCCCAAAACAGGAACTAATGTCTTTGGTCTTGGTCATGCATAGAATATTTATGTAAGCTTTAGAGGAAACTTTGTTTATTTCACAAACTGTTACTTACTTTTTGGCTTTCCTTCTATCTCTGTTGACATCCAATTCAAGCATTTTGGGTGTGGTTACCATGGCAGCTGGACTTTCCTCAGTGTCTGAAGATGGAATCTAAGAAAAAACAAGTTTAATTTACTTTTGTCACTAGCCTCCAGAAGTTAGTGAAGAATAATCTGATGTCCTGAAATCCCCAACACTAATATGTGATAAACACCCTAGCATACCAGCTATTTGATGATGCAATGAATAATTTTTATAATATTGATACAGTTAAAGCTATTTAGGGAGGACGTCAAAAGATCAATGTTGGATAAAAAACTAAAAAATTCTTTTAGCCCCCCCCCCCACACACACACTGAAACTTAATTGATAAATATTGATCATGGCGTCAGACTACATTCACCATTAAATACAAATTGATAATCGGACAGTAGTATGGCATAGCAGTTGGTTGTACTAATGAAGTGGAATATATGCATGCGCACACTAGTTTTCTGGGTTCTGCGCATGCTCTAGGTCCATGCCCTGAAATTGACCTCATTTGATGCACATATTTACACTCGGACCAAACCATTTTCTCGTCTTGGATGTGTTTTTTTTCATTTTCTGTTATTTTTGTCTATGATTGGATAGAAAAAAACGAACTACAAATACTCCAACGTTTTTTGGACTTCATTAAAAAATAAAATCGTTTTTGTAGGATGGAAACTTTTTGAGGTTAAACGCCCCCCCCCCCCCAACTAAAGAAAATAAGTTTTTTATCCAACATCGATCTTTTGACGTCGTCCCTTAAACTAAACTCTATGAACTAGAGGTTTTCTAAACACCTGTTCACTTAACCACGAACTAGGATTCTAAAATAAAACATTTGTAGATACCTTCCAGTAAGGCCCCCTATCTCCAATCAAAATATACCATCCTTAATTTCCTTTCCATTACCGGTAAAAGTGACTACTTAATAGTACACTGTCCTTACCTTTCAGTAAGGCCACCTATCTCCAATCAAACTACACTAATAAGGCCCTTCATCCCTAATCAAATTACATTATTCTTCCCTTCCAATAAGACCCCTTATCTCCAATCAAATTAATTACTTATTACACTATCCTTACCTTCCAATAAGGCCCTCTATCTCCAATCAAATTTACTTGAGTTCCAAAAAGAGCAGAAGGAGACACTGTGTCAGCGCGCACCCCTTTGAGGTAGACCTGCATAGCAACGGACCGTTTCTTGCTACTACCTGGCACAATCATGTTCTTCTTATTGGTGGAGTACACTAAGACTGGTTTGACCAGCAGAATACCACTCTCTTCGTGAACTGTCTCAAAACTGGAAGAGGAAAAAAAATCTTGTCAAGAGGTTAGAGGTCAAAATCATCCAACAAATCAATGAGCCAGAAAGCGTTGGACTTGGCAAAATAATCTTGTGAAGTCAATGCGTTTTCTACGAGTCACACGCACATGAATGTTGTATTTTGTCAGCCAAAATTACCACCAATTTAAATTTGTTTCCATGGTACCGGTAACACTGCATCATGCACACAAAGAATATCACAAAGCATTCGCCAATGCACTACGGTAATCGTAAAAAGTGTTTTATAGATGTACCACCTACGAACATGCCCACAATTTAATTTTTAAATGCTATTGTTTTTACTGCTCTATGATTGACACGTTGTCATTGCGATGAACACCAATTAAGTAACTTACATAGCTTGCATCTGCTCGTACAGTTTGGTTCGCTCTTGTTTGAGTTGATCTGTTCTCTCAAGCCAACGCTGATTAACCTACGAATATACAGATGAATAGTCAATGTGTTTGCTCTCCTTGAATTGAAAACTGTTTGATTTTTGTAATCACAACTCAATTATTAAAAAAGAAACCAGTTTATAGCGATGAAAGCTAAATACCGTTTGCATTTTCTTTTCCATATTTTCAATAAACTGTCTGAGTTCCCAGTGTTCAGCACCAGTTGTCTTGTTCAGCTGCTTTTTGAGTATATCTGCAATGTTGAAAATATAATAATAAGTAAGGCAACTCGGCTCAGGTGTCAAAAAAATGTCCTTGGCTAAATACCAGATGTAGATGAGTATTGTGTCCCCGTGGTGGGTTTAGAGGGATGAATAACAGGTATCCCTCAGTGTGCTTAGAGAGGTACACAACAAGAGCTCATAGGATGGTTTAGAGGGGAGGAACATAACAGGTGTCCTGGGAGAGAATACAGGGGTACAAAAAGAGGGGCTTCCTCCTTGCATTGATATAAATACACAATACCAACAGGGTGGGCTGGGTATAGATGGGTACACAACCGGTATCCTGGGATGATTTATAGGGATACATGACAAGCATCATTGGGTGGATTAGAGAGGTTCACAAATGACACTCAATGCCCCTGGGTGGAGTAGGCTTATACAAGTACACAACGGGTGTCCTGGGATGGTTTAGAGGCATACATGACAGGCAACCTTGGGTTGCATTAAAGATGTACACATACTAATGCCCCTGGGTGTAAAAGGTTGCACATGTGCTCCTGAATGGGCTTAAAGGGGTAAAGATGTTTCTGGGTGGGTTTAGAGTGACACATAATGGGCATACCGTGGTGTGTTTAGAGAGACACAAAACGTCAGAAGCTTTGGGATTGACTTTGAGGGGTACGGAAAAGCATCTTTATGTGGGTTCTGAAGGGACAACAGCTGACCCTGGGTAGGTTAATAGAGGGATACACAAAATGTGTCCTTGCGAGGTTTAAAGAGATACATAGCAAGCACCCTTGAATGGGCTAAAAGGGATACACAACAGGGATAAACAACCCAATAACAATAACATCCTAACACATTTTTTTTTCAACCAACCCATTAATTTAAATAAAAATACAATGATCATACCACACATTGAATACTGAGAAAAAAAAAGATATGCGTTCTGTTTTAAAGAAATGCTTGTTGAGTATTTCTCAAAAGTTACTACACGTTTCCAAGAAGAAACACCTCCCCAATCCTATTTTTAATCCATATAAACATTAGCACACAATTAACAGATTAAAATGGCACCAGCTATTAAGCGACAAATAAAAATAACCACTGCATACAAATAACTTAACAAGAATTAACTCACTGTTGCAGCTCACTTAGTCTCTCATGGAAAAAGTCAGAGTGACACAGTTGTTAAAATCAATTTATTTCTCCCCGGACTGAAAACTGATCTGCCTCTAAGTGTTACGCGATAACCCGTAGTCAGTCAGCGGAACGACTTTGAATGATGCCCTTGTATGGATGGATGCACGAATTGAAATACATTTTGCGTAAGGTTCCAAATGACTTGTATTTCGAAAAAAATGTGTAACCAATCAAAAGGTACTTGCAACATTCGAAAGTAAATTAGGTTGACCCCCTAACTCCCAATTAAAAAAATTGTGTATGCTTTTCAGTAAGTTGATTCACAAATAAGAATTATTGTTGACTTTAATCCTCTGAGTGTCAATTTCAACTTTTGTAATCATTTTAATAAACCTACAAAAATTTTTCATAATTTTTCCAAAATTTTGATCACGGCTTGTAGCCAAACAGAAATCATGGTCACTTGTACCAAAATTATAAAAAAACAATTTTGAAAATTACATAAAAACAGACAAAATGCATTAAAATCCGGGAAAAATTATAGTGCTCAAAGTGTTATGCAAATTTGACAGCAGCAAGATACCAGAAGACAAAATTGTATGTACTTGTTTTTATACTATACATTACAACAAATAACCCGATACTGTTACAAAGTTGGTAAACGAATAAGAATAACACTGTATCAAGTTACTGAAAGTTGAATTTTTTAAATTGTTTGTGTATTTTTATAATTGTAATTATTAAGGTATTTGCGCTATTTATAGTGTGTATTTGTTTATGTTAATGATGGAAGCATGTCGTTCGCCAAGATACTGAAAACATTCATTTTTTAAAGGCCCAATTCACTTGCTTCGGGTAAGTGTGAATTGGAGGTGTGGCTATGCTAATGAGTGTTGTTAATCACTTGCACAGCCTATGACGCATCCTGTTTCAGCTGTCCAACATCACGTGACTTTGATTGACAGTAGTTAATTATTCAAGATTAGTAGCGCGTCCCTTTCCTCGGTTCGTGTTTTTGACTTTTATTCGCTAAAATCTCAGCTCGTACACTATTTATTGTCATAAATACTACACACAGTCACTGCTGTGGTATTCATAGTCACATGCATGCCCTTTGGCACAACATAATCGACCTGTAAGTTTGAGAAAACATGTCTTTATCAGAGCTTGGCTGGAGCTGTTTACTACAGCGTGACAAGCAAGGAAATAATCCCTATTGTTTAGGAGCGTATTTATAGTATACCTGGGCCTTTAAGAGACAAAGTTTCAAAAATGTTGCGAGTCAGTGAATTTTGCAAAATTTTGTAATAGTAGAAATTTTTCTGGAGTCCTATGACTTTTGCAAAGTTTGTTTTCACAAATGCCATAACCATGAAAGTGTGAAAATTTATCACAGTGAAAATTAGCGGTTTACGACACGTCATATTTGAGTAATACAGTATCAATGTAGTTGTCGCTTTACATGCACCGATATAATCCTTTTCTCGTAGAGCAAATGCACTACTGTAAAATACTTTATTTTTCGCTTGGAATTAATTTTCACTAAAAAAATGATTCAGTGAAAATAAAATCCAGCGAATATACCTTTTTTTCTATATTTTACATTCAACTCGTCAGAAATTTGTGAAAATAAATTCCATACAAAACGCCCAAAAAGTCTTTTCAGCGAAAATGAATTCCAGCTAAGATAAAGTATTTTACAGTAATTTAATACTGTAGTACTTTAAAATAAAATTATTTGTAGTAAAAAATATTTTTTGGAAGTAAATTTTACCCACAATGCACTGACATTATGTCATAGATAAATTAGATGTTATACATTACCATGATTATCTTTGAACTTCTTGTGTTGTATGTATCTTTCAAATAGATTGCGAAGACAAACGATTGGTATATCCATGGAACGCTTAATCACCTGCATTGTTATCTGAAAGCAAATAATCAACATTGTCATAAGACAGATGCCCTCACAGTTGAGAGTATGTCTGTAACTCAGATTGAGGCTAATTGGTCTACTGTGCAACAATTGCTGTAAACGACTAAGCTTTTCACTACCGGACTTTCTCGCCCAAATTGACTGCACTTTTTTTTTTTATATTCCACAAAATCTCTGGAAATGAACTCTTATTTTAGACAAAATTTTAGTCAATTTTCAGTTTTTACTCAAAAAAAAAATCGGCTATTTTGGTTCCAATCTTCTGAAGGAAAGTGCAGACTACTGTGGAATACTTTATTTTCGCTGGAATTAATTTTCGCTGAAAAGGCTTTTTGGGCGTTTTGCTTGGAATTTATTTTCACTGATTTTTCATGAGTTTAATGTGAAATATAGGAAAAAAAGTATATTCGCTGGATTTTATTTTCACGGAATCATCCCTTCAGCGAAAATAGCGAAAATAAATTCCAAGCGAAAATAAAGTATTCTACAGTATAACAGGAATTTGTGATTAAATGAGGGAACTGGTGGTGAAAAGGTTAATTTCACAAGAGATAGCATTTTACGATTCCTTGTATTTTCTTTTCATTGCCAAAGCCCTCGCATAGTTAAACAAATATTTCTAGTATCAAAATTTTCAATACACATACACAAATAGTAAATAAGTCCAAACTAGTTTTGGAACTTCATTTGATCTTCTGAAAAATTCTTAATGATATCATTCATATAGTATAAATTTAATATTAGTACTCATTAATATAGGTATTATATAGGTATTATATATTAATTTCCACGTTGGAGAATTTGTCCAAATTATTTTATCTACCCCCGGTACTTTCATGTACAAATGAAAATAAAATTGATACTTTATCAATAATAATATTAAAATAACTTTTTACCCCGAACATCTATGAGTTTTCTAAAATTAGTCTGAACAAGCCATGCATGGCACAGTCCCTGTTAGTTATCAAATTTAAGTTATATAGTTTTGACTATAGTAATATAGATTGAGCTTAAACATGTCAGAGATATGAATTAAGAAGCTGATGCTTGATTATGATAATTTTCTTACATTGAAATGATTGACATTCAGTCATCTGATCGTTAAACGAGTACTTGTCCATACAGTAATTAACATGTGTCACATGAAGTGCAACGTCGCTGTAAAACGTGATTGCAATCACCCAAAGAATATCATAATTTTTTTTTAAATTAAAACAGAAGCCATTTGACAATCTTCAATCTGATACTTGTGCATATGTGCGACATGATGTATAATAAAGATAATTTATTGCATCCTTAGAAATACAGTGTTTCCATCAGTTTATAGCAACAAAAGTAAGATATTAAAAAACAAAATAACAAAATAACTATATATAAAGTTTGAACATGATCAGTCAAAGCACGTCAGATATTGCTCTGGAACAGCATTCATAAAAACAAAATGACCGTCGCCACAAATTGATATGAATCAAGGTCCAATAATGTTCAATGTATGTACCAAGTTTGAACAAAATCCAGCTGTAAAGCCGAGATCAAGTTCTGGAATGCCAGAGCACACAAATGGCCACCTTTCAGCCATCTTGAATCAGATCATGAAACAAATTGATGTGCATATGTATAATGTTATCTATGATGTAGGTATGTTAAGTTTGAATGTAATCAGTCGAGGCATGTCTAACATATAGGCACTACCACACAAACACACATTTTGGTCAATCCACAATTCCAGTTTTTGAGCGGGGTCTGAACAGTGACTAAATATCTGTGCAATATAAAGTTGTACTATGGGATACCTTTTATTTACAGCCCTCGACAAATGAAGTTGTATGTGCTATATATCAAATATAACCAGGGTGGAATCTTGGGATGTCAGAGCCAAGCGAAATAGAACGTGATTTACCATGATTAAAGCCAAGAGGACAAGAGACGAGACTTACTATATGAAGATCTTCAGATATCTTGTTATTCTTGAGGGCGTCTCCCAAAATATCGAGATTCTTCTTCTGATCTTGAAGACTCAATTTGATGTTCTCGACGTCAATTCGCTGGTCTTGCATACCGCGATTGGCCATCATTATTTTGCTTTTCTGTATAATATACATGGTAACAAAGTTAAATTGAATGTTGTTTAAATTTCAATTTATTTTGAGATTCAGAGAATAGCTCTTAACATGTGGTGACCATTGTGAATTGCATTTTATGTCTCGCTTTCAGGTTCCCTGCAATGCTAAGATACATATGATTCAACAGATGCATTCCATCAATGCAAAAACAAGGCTGGGAACGCGAAAGGTCAGCAATAGTTGCCGCATGATAAGAACGAACTCAGTTGTCTTAAATTTAGCTTAGGTCAAAATGGCAACAAGCATTTAAATTTAGCTTAAGTTAAAATGGTACCAAGCATTATGAGACTAATTAATTGCCATATTTTGGGTGTAAAACACTAAATTTAACAGAAAATACTTAGACCCTTCGTCTGAAATGATTGAACCAAATTTAGTACATTTTGAAAAAGTACCAGCAAATTGCTGATGTCCAGAGAGCACAAAAATCACTTGGGCTTAGTGTGAATACTGCATTTCTTCCACAGCAATAGGTCACTTTCATGACCCCTAAAGGTCACACATCCTGGTACTTTCATTGGTATGACTGCATCACAAACATGTACAGTTGGTGCACTTTAATGTGACTTTTTGGTCCTGACAGAAATATTTTACTCTAGCTGAAACAAATCAAGTCTGGGAAATTTCAATAAAATAAATTCATTTTCGATTTTGATAAAAATGAAAGTACCAGGATGTTTGACCTTTAACGATCATAAATGTGTTCGTTTTAATACGAGATCATAAATGTGTTCGTTTTAATACCAGAAATTTATGTAAGTGCTCATAATAAAGTAAATAGAGACATAAAAGAGATGTAATGCGCGCGTGAAGAGGAACTTACAGCGTGTCTGGAATTCTGTTTAAGTTTCTTGAGTGCTTGGTCATGGGTGTGTCCTAACTGAGCCATGGCGACTCTCAGATGCTGGAGTTGCACGTCTCTGTTCTTTATTTCATCAGTCATTTCTTTACGACTGTCAAAATAACAATACATTGTAGATGAATTAAACGAAAATCACAAAATCAGCTTTTTAACATAAAATAGTTTACATCCTCATATTTTATAAATATCTGAATTTCACCAATATTTCTGGAAATGAATTCTAATTTTGGAACCAACAGACAAAAATTTTCAGTTTTTATTCAAAAAAAATGGCAATTTTTGTTCCAAAAGTGTGGATTATAAAACCAGACTATTTGTGAGTTTGGGATGAAAAGGGGGAACTGGTGGTGAAAAGGTTAAATCATGATCCTGAGCACTACGTCATGTTATTATTTATTCATGAAGATGATCGATTCGGACAAACAAATAAGGAAACACAAACTGAAATAACGACAGACATATTTAAAACTGCACCAGGGTTTTGTTCTGGCGATAAATTTCCCCACGATTGATAGCAAATTACCAAAAAGTCACAGTGAATTTTTGGATTAAAAATGTCTTTATCGACTACACACGTCATCCTCATTTAATTTATAACAAATTCTACATTTATGTCAAATCTAGTTTTAGTATGGTCTCAAAATTGTGACAAGCACTGTTTCAATATAATTTTTATAAAAATCACAAACAGGATTGAATTGAAAGACAATGTTCAGATACTACTTACACAACGGCCAGTTCTCGCTGAGTCGTATTACTACTAATGATCATATTCTTATAGCGTTCTAACAGAGACTGGTACTTCTCCTCCTAAAAAAGAAATGAAACACACAATGAAGATTATAGCCAATGAGAGAAAATTCAACAGGGCAAGAATCGGGTCATACAACAGAATGATAGACAAGTAGCCTGTCGGCTGAGATAGCTCCGCTGTTAGCAATGAATAAATATTTGTAAATAATACAAGGTTAATGCGATAATACCGTTATATTTGCTCTATTAGAAGCCTATACACTTACGTAAATAACAGAGGTGTGTCTGTGTTTCCGAAAAATAAGTCGCAAAGAATGCACGAAGACAGTGCAAGTACACAGGTGTTGTTTTCACCATGCACTGTCGCGTACTTAATCCATATACTGGTAGTAAAATTCAGTCTGTGCATTTCAGATTACAAATGTACTAATCAATCCTATGACAGCCATCATTTCTACCACCAAAAAAATATTCATATATTTTTCTGTAATTTCAATAATAATAACATCCTTGCTACCGTTTCTTACTGTAGTCAGCTTGTTGTGGTACAAAGTATTATTATGAGTTACAACCTGATTAGCAATCACACTAGCAAGGTACGTGTACCCTGATTGGTTAGATGGTAATGTGTTAGGGTTGGGTAACCAATCAGAGGCACTAATACACTCACTTTAAAAATGAAAAATATCAGTTTGATTTTATCATCACTTGAGAATAAATAATAAATGCTGTAGTCTCTCGGTTATGAATCAGAGTAGAAAATATAAGAACATACAAAAAAATTGAATTACTACTCACACTAATTCGCTTCGTCTCAGCAAGTAGGATTTCAAACGCACCAACTTCTTCTTTAGACTGGAATATAGTAATATCAAAATAATTAGTTATTTTTTGTTTTTTTATCATTTTTCTACACTACCACTACTTTTTACAGATATACTATGTCTTTCCTTAGAACTTCTTGTCAGAGGTGTATGTGACTATCTTTGTGTTATAACTGCATTATAGAAATGTAATGCACTATCTTGTAGTTAACCAGGGCCAGGCATACACAAGCACTTGCAGACCTTGCCCAAGTTCAAAGTCAAACTTGTTAGTGAATAAATCCAGTCACAGCCCTTCTCATCGCAAACTTACTCAGTGTGACCTGTCAACCCTTTTTGGTGTTCAACCCCGGGTTGGATTTGAACTTGGGTCTATCAATCACGGGTCTGCAGCAACAACCACTACGACATCAGTGATAATTGTGCACACAGTTTTTAATACAGTTCCAGGATACATTACGAGTGGACGTATTCAGTACTAATTCAGATATTATGTGATCTGATACCTTGTTAAGTTTCTCCGTGAGTTGTTCAATCTGTTGCCTGGCTCTCAGCACTCGACTGTCTTGAGTTGGATGGTCATCATCCACATCGATATGACTACCCCTCTTCGCCAGCTGGCCCTCTTTCAACTCAATTCTCTGTTATCATACGAAAAACACAAGATAACTACAAGTATTTGATTTATAAGGTTAAGAATACGAGTATGAGCTGTATACTGCCTTCTGGTGATAACAAATCACAATTATATGGTATTTGTTTTTATATACAACAGTTGATAAAAAGTCTAAAATTCCACAAATGAATAAAAAATCAACAATCTTACCTTATTTATCATTGCCTGAGAAACTTTAAATTCCAGAGCAACCATTACTGAAAACGATAACAATAAGATGAGAAATACAAGTACTGTCACATTTATAAATATTCTGTATGGAGTAAAATGTGGCCTATACTGCCCTCATGAGGTGAGAAATGTGTAAGATCATTGGAACAATTTGAGTTAACCCTTTCACCACCAGTTCACTCTTTTCATCACAAATTTACAAAATAGTCTTGTTTATAGTTAGCACTTTCTTTCAGAAGATTGTGATAAAAATAGCCAAATTTCCTGAGTGTAAACTGACTCAAATATGCCTGTTGGATCCAAAATTAGGATTCATTTCCAGAAATATTGAAGAATATAAGAAAAAAAGAAAGTCTGGTGGTGAAAACGTTAAACCAACCTCAATAGTAGACGTAACACTGAGAGACACATTGACTATCAATAGAAGATGTAATTAATTTTCAATTTATTCCATCATAAATCGCTATATATGTGGCAGAGTTATCAAAACTTATCATAAACAAATTATTACTGAGCAGTCTAACATGCATGGGGTTGCTAGGTTACTTTAGTAGGAACTAGTAAATGAGACAACTGGATTGGCTATAATAAATCAAGCAGTGTTCCACGATGTGCCACAAAGCCAATCATATTCTGGTTGATACACCTTCAAGGGGCTTTGAGTTTGAGGAAACAAGGTTTTCAAACATATGTATTAACGATTCCAGCTTCGTAACGACATTTCAAAATTGAGTTTTGAACTTGACTTACATTCAATAGCTAAACCGGATACAGTGCTCATCATTGACTTGGTGTCTTGTGGTAGCTATAATGAAATAAATGATACATTAAAATCTTGGAATAGAATAGAATAGAATAGAATAACAGTTCTCGAATGAATAAATGATACATTATAATCTTAGAATAGAATAGAATAGAATAGAATAGAATAGAATAGAATAGAATAGAATAGAATAGAATAGATAAATAAATAAATAAAACATAGAATGATACATAGAATGATACATAGAATAGAATAGAATAGAATAGAATAGAATAGAATAGAATAGATTATAGAATAGAATAGAAATTCACACATAGAATAGAATAGAATAGAATAGAATAGAATAGAATAGAATAGAATAGAATAGAATAGAATAGAATAGAATAGAATAGAATAGAATAGAATACAATACAATAGAATCACCTGTAATTCATCCATAGGTAAATCTTTAACGTTGGTCTTAAGTTCATGAGACAAATCGAGAAGTCCTGGAGTAAATAATAACAGAAATGTGCAAACAATCAAATACACAAGAGATACTATCCTCGGGGGCGGACATCCGGACATTTTCTACCTCCTGGCAACCCTCGCAGTGAAAACAAAGACCAAAAACGCACAGAAAACGATACTTTGCAATGGTTGTTGAGAGTCCCCTGAACAGTGTAACAAGATTAGCCCTACGTGTGTAAAATATATGAATTTGGTTGTTCAGGATTACTTCAAAGTTGAGTTTGTGTTGTTTTCTCGAGTTTTCACCGGCTCCACCGGCGTTCCACAGCAGCGCGCACAAAGCCGATAGAAATACGTGGTACAGTGGTGCGCGTCTTAGCAACGTAGAACGTCTGTGACGTAGCTCCGCCCCCGAGGATAGCTTTATTCCCATAGGTTGGTGTAATGTCTGTTACACAGCATGTGTTCAATTGTGTGAGTTTGCAGTTTAACGTAACACTTATTTCATCCTAGTGTATCAGCAGTTTAATCTTTAATAAAGTTTTATCAGAGTTCAGGGCTGAAATTAGACTTTCGACAATAAAAAAGATGAAAATTACGAACATAAGAAATGGTGCAGTGTTGGTGAAATGAAAAATCTCTAAAATTCGAATTCAGACATTGAATTTAAATACATCAATGTGTATACGACCACAGAGTTTGTTGTCACTACATACCTTCTCGGTCAAAGATACCAGCGAGAGATTCTTTAAATCTGTTAACTGCTCGGAATAAATGTAAACATTCTTTGTGGATTCCTTGTATTCTTACATTCAATTCTTGTTCCTGTTTACGAAGTTTGGCTTGACACCTGCAAAAGAAATGGTTATACTGCCATCATTAGATACAAACAATCTAATCTTTTGTTTTTACCTGAAATTTGCCTTCTGGGCCCAATACAAATTGGACAAGATGAAACAAAATACTGAACAAAAGTACTTAAACAATCCCAGAAGACCACAATGTTGCCCAGTGGCAATTGTAAGTTTATTTTACTCTCAGTTTGGTTTGTTCTGGTGCATGCAATATTCTGTCCAATTACCTTACTAAATTGTCGGCTCGTTGTTCTATGATTTGAATGGTCATGAGCATTTCATATTTTCAAACTTTTCTGTATTTCATATTTTCAAACTTTTCTGTAAATCATATTTTCAAACTTTTCTGTAAATTATATTTTCAAACATTTCTGTGTTACAAATTTTCAAACTTTTCTGTATTTCATATTTTCAAACTTTTCTGTAAATCATATTTTCAAACTTTTCTGCATTTCATATTTCAAACTTTTCCGTATTTCATATTTTCAAACTTTTCTGTATTTCATATTTCAAACTTTTCCTTATTTCATATTTTTAAACTTTTCCGTATTTCATATTTTCAAACTTTTCCGTATTTCATATTTTCAAACTTTTCTGTATTTCATATTTTCACATTTTTCCGTATTTAAAATCTGATCTGATAGATCTAAATTTGTAGGATTATTTTAGTAATTATGAGACAAGTAGATACAAACTAGGATGCACAAAATGGTGCATTTGATGACATAATCAGACAAATATATGATACTGAGACTTGAAAATCTATTATGCTAAATACAAAAATTGACAGTACCGTAACTATGGGCAACAACAACATAATAATGTACAAGTCATGGTTATTATTTATTTCAATATTGTCCTTAAATGAACTAAATGGGCCGCATGATATAGGTCAAATCAGAACACTTAAGACAATGATCCATTAAATCAGTCTAGGAATAAGTACAAATGAAATAGGTGATCCGTTTAGTGTGATATCTGGTGAATTCCATGGAAGGCACAAACTGAACGCCTGTCGCAAAAATCAAATGATTGGACTTTTAACTTGAATTTTTGTTTTTCATAGCTCAATGTTCAAATGCTGATTTTTCAGAGAAGAATATAATTACATTAATATTGACCATCTCAAATGCATATAGTCCATCATTAAGTGTGGAAATACCCCCAAAATATTTTCAAGTTTATCAAATCCCTACCCATGTTGTGATGCCACTATGTGGCAGTGACCTTTGTTTGACCTGTTTTTATGTATGATTTCATTCATAACGTAGGATCTCACAGAGAACAAAAAATGGTCAATTGTAAACTGATGTACGTATGACGCCCTCACAGTCAAAACAGAGTAATTTGTATGACGCCTTCACAGTCAAAACAGAGTATTTGTAAGAAGCCCTCACAGTCGAAACAGAGTAATTTGTATAACGCCCTCACAGTCAAAACAGAGTGATACCTTTGGGTTTCTTTCAACACGTGTTCCTGTAACCTGTGCAGTTCTGCTTCATAATCAGCTTTCATTCGGTTGAACATCTGCTTCACAGAAGGGTCATCAGACTCCATGTTTACTTGAACCTGACCTTGACTTTTTCCTGTACTTCTCCGGCCCCGGATATTAGATGTCTGCATCTGGTTGTGCTCAGCCATAACTTCTTTCAGTCGTTTTTCCTGGTGAAAAATCGATCAAGTGAATTTTTGAAAATAATATTTTTCTTCCAATTAGGCCACTTTAATGACCCCTAAAGGTCACACATCCTGGTACTTTTGTTGATATGACTGTATTACAAACATACACAATTTGGGCATTTTAATAATAATAATAAATTTATTACACAACTGCACCATCGGTGGGTGCTGTCTGGTAAGGATACAGATCAGAAAAAACAAACACAAATAAACAAAATCAAAGAAAGCTTAGAAAGAACTCCCGTGTGCTTGAGAGTATTGAAGACATGGTAAAAATTAATTCAAAATTACTTGTACATGAGATATTGATGGAAAAGCTGAAAACTAATTATGTAAATCAGGTAACTAATATGAACAGAACAGAACAAAAAAATTATGAATTATTATGCTAATTAGAGAATTAATATGAACAAATTTTAATTCAAAATTAATCAGGCCTTTATTCAAATGTTATGATCAGTAATTGAGATATCAGTGTTAATTAATTATGTTAATTAGGAGATTATTAAGCATAAATATTTACCAAAAACTAATTGGGTTTCTGCATAGTTCTCTTTAAAAGTTTCATTAAAATCCAATTTGTGGTTCTTTATATATCAGTGGAACATTATGTAAATTAGGTAATTAATATCCAATTAAAACTAATCAGGTCACTGCATAATCCTAGAAGATCTATGTAGCAAGTCTCATTGAAATATGATTACTACTTGATATATCAAAAGCTGAAAATTAATTAATTATGCAAATTAGGTAATTAATATGTACTCATATTACCCTAAAAACTATCGGGTCTGTGCAGTGTCCTATGACATCTATGTACCAAGTGTCATTGAAATGTGATGATTACTACTTGAAATATCAAAAGTTGAAAATTAATTAATTATGCAAATTACTGGTAGCTAATTAATATATACTGATATTACCCTAAAAACTATCAGGTCTGTGCAGTGTCTTATGACATCTATGTACCAAATTTTATTGAAATGTGATGATTACTACTTGAAATATCAAAAGCTGAAAATTAATTAATTATGCAAATTAGGTAATTAATATGTACTCATATTACCCTAAAAACTATCAGGTCTGTGCAGTGTCCTATGACATCTATGTACCAAGTGTCATTGAAATGTGATGATTACTACTTGAAATATCAAAAGTTGAAAATTAATTAATTATGCAAATTACCGGTAGCTAATTAATATATACTGATATTACCCTAAAAACTATCAGGTCTGTGCAGTGTCTTATGACATCTATGTACCAAATTTCATTGAAATGTGATGATTACTACTTTAAATATCAAAAGCTGAAAATTAATTAATTATGCTAATTAGGTAATTAATATGTACTTGTATTACCCTAAAAACTATCAGATCTGTGCAGTGTCCTATGACATCTATGTACCAAGTGTCATTGAAATGTGATGATTTCTACTTGAAATATTAAACAGCTGAAAATTAATTAATTATGCAAATTAGGTAATTAATATGTACTCATATTACCCTAAAAACTATCAGGTCTGTGCAGTGTCCTATGACATCTATGTACCAAGTTTCACTGAAATGTGACAATTACTACTTGAAATATCAAAAGCTGAAAATTAATTAATTATGCTAATTACGTAATTAATATCTACTGAATATTACCCTAAAAACTATCAGTTTGTGCAGTGTCCTATGACATCTATGTACCAAGTTT